CGTTTAACCCCAGTGACCAGCAAATTAGGAGAAGTGGTGCCAAGTGATGTGTGAAACTCTGAAAGAATTGGGGGTTTCTCTGGGTGCCAGTGGCTTGCACCTGTAATCTTAGCTACTCAGGAGGCTGAGATCTGAGGATCATGGATTGAAGCCAGCACGGGCAGGAAAGTTCATGAGACTCTTATCTCCAATGAACCAGCAAAAGGCTGTAAATGGAGCTGTGGCTCAAGGGTTAGTGTGCTAGCCTTGAGCACAAAAGCCAAGAGAGTACATGGCCTGGAGTTCAAGCCCCAGTACTGGCACTAAAGTAAAAGAAGAAAATCAATGACTCCTTCGAGTCCTGACTTTGGGAGGGAAAGGCCGGCTCAGGACGAGATGGTGAGCACGTGTAAGGGTGGCCCCCTTGAGGTGTTCCATGTCTAAGTTCTAGGGCCTATCCTACTCTGGGTACATGGATGTGGGGCTTGGAGCCCCCCTGAACCTCAGTCACCCATAGCTTCTCCATGGGGGTCTCACGGTAGAAGAGTGGGGGCTCTGGCCGGTGAATGGAGACCTGCTCGCTCACCTCTCTGCCACTCAGGTTACCCTGCTGCAGAATGGGGTGCTGGGGGACTACAAACCCTGCATCCAGGTTGTGACTCTCCCCTGTGATGTGGTCAGGCTAACTTCCAAGTGGCTAGCCATTACAAAGTGTGTGTGTGTGTGTGTGTGTGTGTGTGCGTGTGTGCGCGCGCGTGTGTGTGTGTGTGTGTGTGTGTGTGTGTACACGCACGCACATGGGTGTGTACTCACTGGACACAAGTCAAAAGCTGAGAGAAACTGGAGAAGTATTCCCATGAGGGACAAACGAGAGTGGGGCCCTAGCATCTGTGGCCTTGTGCAGACAGCCGAGGCCAACCGGCCAGAGCTCCAGCAGACCCCTTGAAGGGCGCACGCTCGTGACCCCTTTGCCCACCACCAGATCCCACCCCGGAGGTTCACAGGTGAGAAGATAGGGAGATGGGGCTGGTGTAGGGCCCAGAGTCCAGGAGCCCAAGAACCAGAGTCCCCAACATCCACAGGCAGAACATGAGGCCCCGCTCGAGGGTAGGGCTAAGGCCTTCCCTCCCCAGCCCCTAGGAGTCACATCCAGGAGTCAGGCTTTACCCACTGTCTGGGCACCGCCTTGCCCATCCAAGTTGACTATGAAATGAACAGCCACAGCAGGTGTATAAGTACGGTCAAAGGCTCAGAAGAAAGCACGTGGCAAGTCACTGGACAGGGGGCACCGCGGCAGACACGCGGGGATTGCTACCGAGGGTCCCGCGCAAAGTGTTGTCAGTTGCAGAGGTTGCGGGTGGCAGGGGAAGAGTCACCGTGCTTGAGACGGTGTAGTGGAAATCACACCCTAAATAACAAGAGAAGGACAATACGGGCGACTTGGGAGTCCCAGAAGGAGGAGAGATGAAGGAGGCAGATAAAGCAATTTATTTAGTTTTGTGCTGACACTTGGGCTTGGACTTACAGCCTTGTGCGTTTGCTTAGCTTTTCCCCTCAGAGCTGGTTCTCTTATCTGCCACTTGAACCATATCTCCACTTCTGGCTGGTTAGATGGAGATTAGAGTCTCAGATTTGTCTTTCTAGGCTGGCTTCAAACCCAAACCCTCAGCCCTCAGCCTCTTGAAGTAGCTGGATCACAGGCACCAGCGCCTGGCACCTAGCTAGCTAAAGAAATTTAAAGAGGCCACAACTGGGAAGGTGGCTCAGTGGTAAAGTGCTTGCCTTGCATACATGAGGCCCTGGGTTTGATTCCTCAGCACCACGTAAGCAGAAGAAGCCAGAATTGGAGGTGTGGCTCAAGTGGTAGAGCTCTAGCCTTGAGCTGAAGAGCTGAGGAACAGTGCCCAGACCCAGAGTTCAAGCCCCACGACTGACAAAAAAAAAAAAAATTGAAGAGGCCAATACTTGTTAAATTCTAAAAATGTTCTGTGATTGAACTGTACACTTTCACTGAGAGAGATTAGACAATTGGTAAATCAGTCTTCACTAACCTGGAAATGAATGGCCATCAAAATACAGGAAGAAAGTGCAGAGCAAGCTAGAGACCGGTGGAAGGATCACAAACCACACAGGATAAAGCAGTTGATCCACAAGATGTAAAGAACTCCTAGAATTCAACGAGAACAAGAGACAATCTTTAGAAATGAACCAGAGTCTTGGGCCAACCTTTTTCAAAGAGAAAGATACACAATAAACACAGAGAAAAACCTCAGGGTCAGCGGCCATCAGATGGATGCCACATAAACTGCAGTGATGTTTTACTTTGTAGGCACTGTGGCGTTTGAGATGATAAAGACCGGCCAGCACGGGGGCTGGAGGGGCGTGGGACAGCTGGATCTTTATGCACACTGCTGGTGCGGGTGAAGAGGCTGTGGTCACTTTGGGAAGGAAGGCCTTTGGCAGTGGTTTATGAAGTTAAACACACCCCTTTCCTTTGACCCCACAGTTCACTTCCGGTCGAAGGTTATTTCCTGAAGAAGTGAAACCATTTGTGTTCTTCCCCCCACCCCCACCCCCAATTTCCTCCTCCATGCTATGCAGGAACACACACACACATATACGTGCACACATGCACACGGCACAGGACTTGAATGATCATGTAGAGGCTTTTATTCACACTCTTGAAAGGAGCCCACATGTCTATCAAGAAGGAACTAGGCATAGCGACTCATGCCTGTAGTCCCAGCCCTTTGCTGATAGAGGCATGAGGATGCTGAGTTTGAGGCAAGACTAGGCAAATAGTGAGACCCCGTCTCAAGCCAGTGGAAACAGAGACTGCGTGACAAATGTTTCCCGTGCAGCGGACTTGCCAATGAGGGCTGCGTGCGGTCCGGGCCAGCGCACGTGGGGAAGTTGGTGTCCCGGAGACGGGATGCAGGGGGCAGAAGCCAGGACCTAGCACTGCACCTCCTGTTCTGCCCCAGACCCAGGTGTGCCGTGGGAGGATGCGGGGCGGGGGGCAGGGCAGGGGAGCACGGGGTGACGCCTTCCACTCGTCAACAGGGCATGAGTCACACAGGTGGGGTCGTGGGTCAGCATGCATTTGTCTTTACAAACCTCGGCAAAACACTCTGAGTGTTGGTGTCTCAGTGCTGGGCTTTGGGGTGCGCCAGGTACGGGTGTGTACCCAGCAGAAGGCGCTGGCCGGGGGTGGGGGGAGAGGCTGACTCGGCTTTGATTGTGTGGCAGCATCCTGATGGCCTGAGACCCCACGGCCCCCTTGGGCTGTGATGGGGCCCTCACCGCCTCCCCCTTGTGTTGCTCTGCACATGCCTCCGAGGGTCCAGAGCACGGCACCCCTACAGTACTGGGGACAGGATCTCTGGAGCCTGAGGACTGAGTGGGGCCGGGGCCCTGTCAGGTCCAAGACGTCGGGGCAGAAGCCACGGCTGAGCTGGTTCTGGCTGGTTCATGGAGGTCTTGGTTAGACCAAGTCCTGCCATCAGTTCAGATCGACCCCCGTTTATAGAGGGGGTGTGCACTTTCGAGTCTCCATCCCAGGCCCCTCTTTCCATTGTTTTTATCCATGTTCCCAGCCAGGGGATATGTCACAGCCAAAGCCACTTCTTCCCGCCTGGCCTGGCTGGGCGAAGCTCATGTGTTGTCTCCAGTGTGATCTCTGGTCTGATGGCCTCTGCTCTCTGTGGTTGTCAAGTTCCATGGTCTGGAGGCACAGCCAGGATTCTCTGGACTGCAGCTTGAGCTGGGGAGGGAAGGTAGGAGGGAGGCAAGGAGGAAGGGAGGGACACAGAGAGACCCCTGTTCTATGGCATGATAGAAATTTGTGTGTGGCCAGCACCTGTGAGAAAGGACTCTGCAGCCCCCCCTGGTGGACAGAGCAGTGGGACACATACTTGGGTGCTGTCCTCTGGAGAAGGTGATTTTTGGAACATAAGAAACAGTTACAGAGACAGCTGTCAGACCACCCGGGTGGCCCCTGAGGATGAGTCAGTAGGGAGGTCCTTGGGCTCCCAGCGCCACCCTCCATGTGTCCTGAGTGACAAGAGGCCATTGGGCACACTGCATCAGTTCCCTGGAGGGGAAGGAACAGAAAGGGGCCCACTAGCATTGTCCTCTGGCCCCGCGGTACGCCTTACTTCACCCCTCTGCAGCCAGGGTCTTGAGTGAAGGAGTCAGACTTGCCTGGGCTCTTGCTGGAGAAAAATCTAGATATTCCTCCCTGCAGATGATGCAGGGTGCTTTGGGAGACCCTGCTGGTGACAGAGGCCTTCCTCAAACAAGCTGTGTCCCCCATTCTTGAGATCTTGAGGGACCACCCGTGCCCTGCTTAATAAGTGGCAACTGCTATTTCAAAGTTAGGTGGCCTGCCTGGTGGGGGAAGCCTTTGCTAACCACCTCCAAGTGTCACTTCTCTGCACCCCCCCTCCCCCCCCAAAAAATCTGGAAGTGCTGCCGCTTGTCCCTGCCACCCAGAAGTGACCTCGGGGCTGTAGATGGTCCTCCCATGGAGCTGAGGCCTGGGATGCAGGCCTCTGGGCACAGCCTGTTCTCGGGATCTCTCCCCGCCCCCCCCCCCCCCCCGCCCCATGGAGGAGCTGAGAACCAGCAGAAGTGGGGTATCTGAGCAGTGACACAAAGGCCTTGGGGGTGGGGAGATCCTGAGGCCCGAGCTGCGGGCACTGGGGCCCCAGGTCCTGGGTGTGGGCTGGGGCAAGGGCTCTGGTTATGGGCAGGAGCCAGGCTCTCCCTTTGCCCAGCTGTGGGAGTCGGGTGAGCACAGCCTCGCCCGGCCTGCGGCCCGCGTGTGTGCGATGTGTTGTGTAGTCCAGGCTTGGGGATGCAGTTCCTCGGAGACCGAGGCAGGTCCTGAGCACACGCTGTGCCGTCAATGCAAACACAAGCAGACTGGGACCCGAGGCCCAGACCCCGGGGCTCAGGCCCCCGGGGCTGTATCCTCTCCCTGGGCACCCCTCGCTGCTCACCACCCTCTCCCCGTGCAGCGAGCATGACCTGGGGGAGGACATCTACGACTGCGTGCCCTGCGAGGATGACGGGGATGACATCTACGAGGACATCATCAAGGTGGAGGTACAGCAGCCCATGGTAAGCCCGCACTGACGCCACACGTGCCGGCGCACCCGCTGCCCTGAGGTGCCCCTCCGCGGCCTGCTGCCCAGCCCCACGGCCGCGTTGCCATGGAATTCTTCCAGGGCTTCGGGGTTCTCGGTCCTCCCGCCCAGGGAGCCTGCAGTAGTAACTGCGATCAGTCTCACCCAGCACGACTCATTTTACCCCTTTGTGGCTCAATTAGCCAGCTGCGCATCTTTTATGTTGGCAGATACTTATTTCCACACAGGCATTGGCTAATAATCTTCGGACGCCAGTGAGCTCCCATTCAGGTTTATCGCTGCAGCTGCTCTGCAGAAGGCGGGGTGCTGCCAGGCGTGGGAGGGAAGTGGGGCCCTGTGGGGTGCTGCCAGGAGGGACAGGGAGCTGGGGGGCTTGGTGGGGCAGGCCACAACCTTCTTGGGCCCCTGAGAGTGGGCACGATGCCACGTGCCAGTTGTGGAGGCTTTAAATGCATTCACTTCCTTGGAGGAGTGGGGGGATTTATCCCAAAGTGGAGGTCCCTGCTCCCATCCATCTGCAAGAGCCATCTGGCCATGGTGAACAAAGCTGGGAGAAAAACCCTAAAACGACCCCCAGAGAGGCTGTTCCCCAGCCTGGTGCCACGTGGCTCATAGGGAGAGACATGGAGGCTGGGTGGGGGTCTCCTCAGCTTTGATGGGGGCTGGGAAGCCCTGTGGGGGTTCCCCATTGGAGCTGGCCTGAAACCTTCTATGAAAACAGCCAGTTGTTGGGAAGAGAGAGGCGCTGTCATCCGGGCTGCGTCGCTCCCAGTTCGTGGCAAGCAGGGTCCTGCGGGTCCAAGTAAATGTGCAGATGCGGCACCTGCAGGTCACCCGGAAGTGACCCCACTCCTGCCTAGTGGCCCTTTCCCTTCTCTCTCCCTCCCTCTCCGTGTCCTCCTCCCCTTCTTCCTCCTCCTCCTCCTCTCCTGCTGGTTCTTGGGCTTGAACTCAGGATCTTGGAGCTCTCTCCTAATTTTTTCACTTAGGGCCAGAGCTCTACCACTTGAGTCCAGCCCTACTTCCAGCTTTTTGGTGGCTAATTGGAGATAAGAGTCTCATGGACTCCTCTGCTTGGGCTGACTTCGAACCATGATCCTCAGATCCCAGCCTCCTGAGTAGCTAGGATTATGGGTGTGAGCCACCTGCGCCAGCAGCTCTCTCCCCTGAGGCCTGACACTCCCCCAGAGTCTGTTGCTGTCCCTGGTCCTGAAGGACACAGGGTTGCTTCAGAGCCCTGGGTGGGGTTGGGGTGGGGCATGCTTCCCCTGGCCTGGGGACCAGCTGGTGTCCCAGAACCCAGATCTGGGTTGGCACTCATAAACTGTCCAGTTCAGCCGGGTAGGGGCTCGTGCCTGCTGCTGCCGTCCTCTGGAATGGCCCTAGGCTCCATCGGTTTCCCTGGCACGACCGGTTACGGCAGACAGTGTGTGGGGGAGGTGGGTGGATGGGGCTTCCCAGAGGAAGATGGAACGTGGGGATGGCGGCTGCCAGCTTGGAGCCCAGGTGTAGGGAGGTGTGTGGGTAGCTCTGGTCCAGTGCCACCTCCTCCTCTGTCTCCCGGGTCTCAGTTTGGGCTGGGCTATGCCTGCTGAGACTGTGGGCTCACGGTGGGGTGGGCATCCTTGAATTTGCAAGCACGGCTTGAGAACAGTGCACGTTGCCGACTGGTTTAATCTCTGTTCATTCCTCCATGCGTTCAGATTAGATACATGCAGGTAAGAGTCTTAACCACCTCCCAGACCTCTCAGATCCCTTTGAAAACGCTGGCCTGCTCCCAGGGTGCCGCGTGGCACACCGCGTTAGCCACTCTTTCGTGGGCCTAACACCTGCTAGAGGCTTCCGTAACAGCGGCCCCGCCCCTGGCACCCCCACCCCCAGCCCTGCTCATCTTTGCATATCACGGTGGAACCCAGAGTGCTGGGGGACCGTGCAGCGACTCTGAGGACAGCGTGCTGGGAGCCGCATTCCAGGGCCGCGCCCTGCTCTCCTTACTTTTTCTTTTTCCTTTTCTTCTTCTTCTTTTTTTTTTAATCGGTCCTGGGGTTGAACTCCGGGCCTGGGTGCTGCAGTCTCTTGAATTCTTCAGCTCAAGGTGAGCACTCTACCACTTGAGCCACAGTGCCACTTCTGGTGGTTAATTGGAGATAAGAGTTTCACAGACTTTTCTGCCCGGGCTGGCTTTGAACCATGATTCTCAGATTTCAGCCTCCTAAGTAGCTAGGATTACAGGCGTGAGCCACCGGTACCTGGCCCTTTTTTCTTTTTGTTAGTCATGGGTCTTGAACTCAGGGCCTGGGCATGGTCTCTGAGCTTTGTTTTTGCTCAGGACCGGTGCTTTACCACTTTGAGCCAAAGCTCCACGTTCGATTGTGGTGTTATTTTGGTAGTTAATTGGAGATAAGAGTCTCAGGGAACTTTCTTGCCTGGGCTGACTTCTAACCACAATCCTCCAGTCTCAACCCCCTGATAGCTAGGATTACAGGCATGAGCTACCAGTACCCCACCCCCACACTTTTTTAAAAGTCTTAGACCAGACTCAGTATCTGAGGTTTTCACTCATTGGCTGGCACTCTGCCAACCTGAGCCACAGCTTCAACCCCAGCTTGCTCTTTTCTTTTGGTGGTACTGGGTCTGAATACAGGGTCTGCAGCCGTACTCCAGGTTCTGAATCAGGAACAGGACTTTGTGACTCTAGAAACCTCTGTGTCTTTGGTGCTGGCCCCCATCTCGTCCTCCTCTTTCCCCGTGCCTCAGTTTCCTCGACTGCAGGCCATGGGAAAGGGGCACCCATGCATCCCCCCATCCCATAGCAACCTCATGACCACACCCCATGGGGCAGTCCTGTGGCCCAGGGTGATAGGGGCCTCACACAGTGGACGCCCGGACTGTGGGGTTCCTGACCCCATCTCTTATCCGGCTAGAAAATGGGCATGACAGAGGATGACAAGAGGAGCTGCTGCTTGCTGGAGATTCAGGAGACAGAGGCCAAGTACTACCGGACCCTGGAGGACATCGAGAAGGTGAGTGAGGCCGGTGTGGCCGCGGGAGACTCCGGCTGCTGCTGGGGCTCACTGCAGAGAAGGGAGGGGTCGAGAGATAGCCGGTGAGGCCTGGGCTCTGCTTTGCCATCACAGCCTCCTGCTCTATAGTCCTCTGCCCCATCCTGCCGCTTCCCTTCTCTGTGTTGGAGCCTTAACTTGATTGTGGCTTCTGTTTCTGGATGTGCTGGTTGGGCCAGGTGTGAGCTAAAAACCCAGTGCGCACATGTCCCCAGGGCACATCCCCAGCTCGGCCATGGGACAGGAAGCCCCCCACATTGCATGTGGCTAGACCTCACAAAAACACCCACTCATTCGGGCAGGAGGCTCACACCTGTCATCCTAGCTACTCAAGAGGCTGAGATCTGAGAATCTTAGTTCCAAGCCAGCTAGGGCAGGAAAGTCCATGAGACGATTACCTTCAATTAACTAGGAAAAAAGCCAGAAGTAAGCTGGGCGTCGGTGGCTCACGCCTGTAATCCTAGCTGGTCAGGAGGCTGAGATCTGAGAATCGTGGTTCAAAGCCAGCCCTGGCAAGAAAGTCCATGAGACTCTTTTTTTTTTTTTTTTTTTGTCGGTTGTGGGGCTTGAACTCTGGGCCTGGGCACTGTCCCTCAGCTCTTCAGCTCAAGGCGAGCGCTCTACCACTTGAGCTACAGCGCCACTTCTGGTTTTCTGGTGGTTTATTGGAGATAGGAGTCTCACGATCTCTCCTGCCCGGGCTGGCTTTGAACCGCGATCTTAGATCTCAGCCTCCTGAGTAGCTAGGATTACAGGCGTGAGCCACCAGCGCCCGGCTCCATGAGACTCTTATCTCCAGTAAAACACCAGATAACCAGAAGTGGTGCTGTGGCTCAAGTGGTAGAACTCTCGCCTTGAGCTGAAGAGCACAGGGACGGTGCCCAGGCCCAGAGTTCAAGCCCCACAACAACAACAAAAAGCCAGAAGTAGAGCTGTGGCTCAAGTGGCATAGAGTACCAGTCTAGAGAGGAAAAAGCTCAGGGACCGCACTCAGGCCTAAGTTCAAGCTCTCAGTTGAAATCTGAAACCAAAACATAAAAATACTCAAACCTGCTCATCCCCAACCTCAGCCACCTGTCCCCCTCAGCTCTCTTGGTTCAGTCACCTGTTTCTCCCCAGGTCTCTGGCTCACTGGGGTCATCTCTAGGTGTGTCCCTGACCCCCTGTGTCCACAGGGCCAGTGCTGATGGGGTGCAGAGACCCACAGAGTTTCCGGGCTGGAACCCTTGGTGTTCTCTGGTTGTGGGGTAGGATTTGGGGTGGCCACAACAGGAACCCCTAGTTGGGCGCCTCCAATGCTCCCTTGGCCCAGGCCAGCCTCTTTGGCCTCCGTGGAGCTGTGCTCAGGGTGTGGGCATGGCTGCGTGGTCTGTGGGCTGGACCCCACTGGTGCATCCCAGACCAAGGGCTGCTCAGTGAACATGGTGCAACTCCCTGTGCCCGAGGCTGTGGCCGGCAGGGACTGGCGCCCGCAGCCCACACAGCAGCACAGATTTCTCCCTTTCAGAACTACATGGCCCCCCTGCGGCTAGTGCTGAGCCCGGCGGACATGGCGGCTATCTTTATCAACCTGGAGGTGAGTGCGTGGCAGCCTCACAAACCACTGATCGCTCCTGGGGCGTTAGCAGCCACGCCCCCACTGCCCCACGATGGGCTCGGGAGAGCAGCACCCTCTCTGGAGCAGTGGTTGTGAGAGGCAGAAAGAGGTGGTTCTCAGGTGTTTGCGCTGGCCAGCAGGCACGGCCCAGACACCCGCAGCCCCAGAGCAGAGCTCGAGAACCCCGAGAACTGTGAGGCAGGCTGTCAGCAGCAGAGGGGAGGTGGTTCCCACCCCTCTGTGGCTGTCCGATCACAGATGCCGGAGGGGGATTCCCACGGGAAGGTGTATCTGGCCATGGCTGGCAAAACAGGGCATTTGGGCTGCAGGCTGCAGAGGCCATGCGGGCATCCTCAGGGAGGGAGCACGCTGCTCCCGACTCCTCCCAGCACCAGGCTGGTTCTGGTTTCAGTCTGTCAGATGAGATAACCGAGATCCCACAACTTCTCGTCTCTGTGGCCTGACCCACCATGAGCCATGGCCAGGACGGATGACCACAGACAGAAGCGGGGGGGGGGGGGGCGGTTGGCAGGTGCTGCCCACAGGTCCACCTCTGCTCTGCGGTGCGGAGCCATGTGCTGGGTCCCCATGAACCCCGTCCTGTGAGCAGCTGCGATGGCCTTGAGGGCCGTGGCTGGCTATGGTTGCCCTGCTTTCTTCTTCAGTTGCTGGCATCGGAGCCCATGCTGGAGCGCCTCTGTGTGTCCCTCAGGGCTGATGCAGGCTGTGGGTGGTACCCCAGCGCCAGGCCTCTGTGTTCATTATTTTTTATGTTTTTGGGTCCGGTCGTGGGGTCTGAACTCTGGGCCTGGGAGCTGTCCCTCAGCTCTTCAGCCGCTCAGCTCTTCAGCTCAAGGCTAGCGCTCTACCACTTGTGCCACAGCGCCACTTCCGGCTTTTTTCTTTTTGCTTATGTGGTGCTGAGGAATCAAACCCAGGGCCTCATGCATGCAAGGCAAGCGCTCTACCACTGAGCTACCTTCCCAGTCCCTCTGTGTTCATTATTGTAGAACTTTCTGGCAGAGTGACCCCACGTTCACAGGGCCAGGTAGCACCAGTGCCTGCTCCCACGTTAGCCTTGAGTCTGTCTAAAGCGCGGGATGCGGTGGGAGGCTCGGCCACCTGCTGATGGCTTTTTCCACCCAGGACCTCATCAAGGTACACCACAGCTTCCTGAGGGCCATCGACGTGTCCATGATGGCGGGCGGCGGCACGCTGGCCAAGGTCTTCCTGGAGTTCAAGGAGAGGTGAGTGCCCACCGCTTGCAGGCCCTCATGCTGTCTGCAGGGCTCAGGACGGCTTGGGCTCTGGGTTCTTGGAGACACATCCTGGGGTGGAATGGCGGAGCTGGGGTTCATCCTGATGAAACCCGGAGGCCTGGGGGTCGAGGCAGGTCGTCCCTCTCCTGACCTCTGTGCCCTCCTCCATCACAGCCTGGAACGGCCTCTCAGGGCCCTCCAGCCCCTCTGCTTCTTTTTGCCTGTCAGGTCTTGGTGGCCGTTCTCCCAGCTCACTGTGTGCAGGCCCAGTGCCTGGTGCTGGGCAGCTGGGAATCCAGGGAGACACCTCGATACCCACAGAAAGTTGTTTCCCTGGTGTGTGGCGGGCCAGCAGCCGCTTGTGCAGACACCTGTGTGCAGGTGTGAGCATGGGGATCCTGGGACATGGGGACAGAGCCGGGAGCGGTCCTGGATGTGACCTCAGGCTCTGAGGCCGAGGCTACTTTCTGTCTTGCACGGGCAACACATGCACTGTGTCTTGCCTCCGAGGTCCGTGTACTGGGGACAAGATGGCTCCTGAGCTGTACACCGCTGGGAGAAGCCGCCCACCAGGGTCCCCGTCCCAAGCAAGGTGGCCTTGTCCCAGTGGGAAGACAGTGCAGGCCTCAGTGGATGAGACTGGGGGACACGGGACAGACGCTGAGATGTCCTGACATAAGCCAGCTTGAGCCTTAGGTGTGAGGAGATGTGTTTTGGGGCCACCAGCTACAAGTGAGCCTCAGCTCCCCCCACAGGCCATTCCCATCTCACCAGCACTCACACCAATGTGCACAGAGCCCGGGGGGCCACCAACAGCACTGGTCTGGGCACACGCGCCTGCAGTCCCAGCGGCCTCCTCTTTGCCTGTGAATTTGGGTCTGGAGTGAGCCAGGCTCAGTCGCGGCTCACCTGGGAACAGCGCTGTGGTCGAGACACCACTGTGCGTTTCGTTCTGTGCTTCGAACCCCACCAGCAGAGCTGGGCATGGCCAACCTTCCCCCCACTGCTCATGGTGGTGCTTAGCAAGGGGCAGCTGAGATTGTGGAAGCTTCTAGTGGGTGTGAGAGGGCAGCCCTCAGTGTGGCTCCTTGGCTGGGCTGGAGATCTCAGCGTGTCCTTTGTGAGACCTGCTGCTGTTCTGTGAAACAGTGGCGATGGGTGGGATGCGCAGACGAGGCTCAGGACAGCCTGACTGCCCCAATCTACGCCCAGGGTCCAGCCTGACCGCCTGGCCACCTGACCTATGCCCAGCGTGCAGGGCTCGCTCTCTGACCTGTGCCCAGGATCAAGGATGGCCTCAGACAGACCTGGCCTTGTCCCCCAGCAAGACCTTCCTGGCCCTGAGTCCTCTAGGGAGGGACGGCCTCTGTCCCCCTGGAATATCGCTGCAAGAGCGATGTCCATCCCTGTCAGGCAAGGAACCCCGCACGGCGGCCCCATCACCCGGCCAGCAGGGCGCCTGGGCCCAGGCCTCGGCGTCTGTGTAGAGAAGGAGCTGCTCGTGTGTTTGGCTGAGGCCGATGTCCCTTGCTGAGAGCCTGCTGTGGACGTGTCTCAGCTTTGGGTCAGGGACAGTGGGCTTGGCTCCTGCGGGCATGGGGACAGAGTCGTCAGACAGGGGTGCTCACGGGCTGCGGTGGAGCTGAGAACCCGCAGCAGGGGGACGGGGCACCCTGAGGCGGCAGAGGCCTGTGGGAGGCGGGAGTGGAGTGGCATAAGGTCCAGAAAGACCCTTATGAGGGTCTTCTAGGCCAAGAAAGGGACTTAGTTTTTGGCTTTGGGGCAGGAAGAAGCCACTGAGCGCCTCAAGATGCTGGCACTCGTCGCAGATAAAGGTCGAGGTGACATCCAGGGGGCAGCACGTCACTTTTATGTTTTGTTTTTGATGCTTTTTGTGGGGCTTGGACTCACACTCTTGCTTGGCTTTTTCACTCTGGGATGGCACTCTATCAAACCTTTCTGCCCAGGCTGGCTTTGAACTTCAGTCCTCAGTTCTCAGCCTTCTGACAAGTTAAGATTGCAGGTGTGAGCCACCAGCACCCGGCTCTCCTTTCTTTTTGGAGATGGTCCTGAGACAAGGAGGAAGCAGTGCTTGTGGCACGTGTGCCTGGCATCTGTCTCCTCCACACAGAGGGAGGTCAGGTGCCAGAAAGTTTGTGTTGTGCAGATCTAATATAAGGAAAAGAGCCACATGGTGTTGGTCTGGGGCTGGGCCAGGCTAAGTCGGCGTGCTGCCTGACAATACATGGCTCTGCCCCATGGCTCCATGCTGTACTGAAGCGTGCAGGGCAGAAGAACTACCAAGAGTTGTGGGATGGTCCGGGAGAAGGCCCTGGGCTGGCTCCCTCAGGTCAGAATGCGACGGAAGGCACTCTGTGCCAGCCCTGGCTGTGGGGTGCTGGGTTTAGAGATGACGGTCAGGGACAGGCAAACCCTTGGATGCCCTTGACTTCCAGAGGTGTGAGTCCTCTGTAGGGTGGAGGTCTTAGGAAGGCCTCTGGCCCTGAGCCTGAGGCTCAGGGTCTCTGGTTCTAGGCCCTGGCCTCCATCCCCAGGTTGGGGAGAGCCGGTGACGCCGTTAACATTCCCAGTTTGTTCTTGTGTCCTCAGTACACTCCAGCTCACATCCTGTGAGCTTGACGTGTCCTCCCCTCACTCCCCCCCCCCCCCACCGCGGCTGTCATGAGAGGTCGGGATTGGGTGGGTGAGAGAAAGCAGGTGGGAGACTGTTCTAGAAGCAATGTCCATGCTCCCTTGGCTGGCCAGAGCCTGGTGCATGTGCATGGAGGTTCTGGAACCCAGCTCTGTGCAGTGGACCTGTAACTTCCTGTAGCAAGGGGCCCAGGGAGGCAGATGCTCAGGCAAAACGGGGTGCAGAGGTTGGGGTATCTGGGCCATGCAGTGGGCAGGGAGAGGCCACAACCATGAAGGCTGTGTGAGGACAGCGGCCATGTCCTCTGCCTGGTTCCAGGGGTGTGGTGGGCAGGGGGGAATCCAGTATCCTGGGTGGACCAGAGAAGCCCAAGGAATGGGAGTTACAGGCATGCACGTGTGGGCACATGTGCGCATGTGTGCAAGCACAGGCTTTGTTCCAAGCCCGGGTAATTGTACTCAACAATATTCAGGTTTGTGGTTAAAATTAAGGCTGGCAACTTCTGCTTCCAAAACCAACTTCCTCAGTCGGCTCAGAAATCACTCTGTGTTTGGGATCTCGAGGAAAAGAGCAAGGCAGAGCTCAGGGGGCTCACGCCTGTCATCCTAGCTACTCAGGAGGCTGAGATCTGTGGATGGCTGTTTGAAGTCAGATTGGGCAAAAAAAAGTCCATGAGACCCTTGTCTCCCATTAACCACCTAGAAGTGGAGCTGTGGTTCAAGCCAAAGAGCACTAGCTTTGAGCAAAAAAGCTGAAGGACAGAGCCCAGTTCTTGAGTTCAAGCCCCAGTACCAGCATGCACACACAAAAACACAAGAAAGCCAAAACAAGGAACAGAGGTCCAAGCGCCTATAATCCTAGCTACTCAGGAGATCTGAGGATCGCAGTTCAAAGCCAGCCCGGGCAAGAAAGCCTGTGAGACTCTTATCTCCAATGAACCACCAGAAAACTGGAAGTGGCGCTGTGGCTAAGTAGTAGAGTGCTCACCTTAAGCTAAAGAGCTCAGGGAGAGCGCCCAGGCCCAGAATTCAAGCCCCATGACCAACAAAAACAAAACAAGGAACAGAAAAACCATGCTCCCCCCCCCACCGGCCTCCATGGCCCCCACTCTCATGGGAAGGACTCATTGTGCTGGCTGCTGGCGGGGTCTGGAGAAAGAGGTATCTCAGGAATACTTTACTTCAACCCACAGAAATGTCTTAGCTCTGAGGGCCAGAATCCCAAACCAGTGCCAATTTGAAACAAAGTTGCCCCAGGCTATGCCCCTTGAAGGCCCTGGGAGAGGCCCCGGGAGAGGCCCCGGGAGAAGCCGCCTGTCTGCCTGAATGCTGGAGCAGCTCATTCACCTCCCGCCTCTGCTCCACGAGTCCTTTTTTGTACCTTGTAGATGGAAGTGTTGGACCCAGGAGCCCCTGAACCCAGTGGGACCTCATACCAACCCTTACCCTCATGACCTCCGCAGAGACCCCGTGGCCCGTTGAGGCCACGTGCTGAGGCTCCCGGTGGACGTGTGTTGGGTCTTGTCTATCATGGGCCACTGTGGGGGAAGTAAGTGCTTCCTGCCTGCAGCCCAGCCCTGGGTGAGGGGGGGCCGTGTCCCTCCTGCGGGCCTGGCCTGCTCAAGACACAAAGCCAGCGTGGGTGGCTCACACCTGCAATCCTAGCTCTGGAGGCTGAGATCCAAGGATCACAGTTCAAAGCCAGCTCGGGCAGGAAACTCTGTGAGACCCCTATCTCCAATAAACCACTCAGAAAAATGGAAGTGGCGCTGTGGCTCAAGTGGTAGAGCGCTCACCTTGAGCTGAAGAGCTGAGGGACAGCGCCCAGGCCCAGAGTTCAAGCCCCATGACCAACGACAACAACAAAAAAGACCACACGAACTCAACGTTCTTGTCTGGCCCTCTGCCCACCGCTGGGCACCCTTCCAAGTAAAGTGGCCTCTCTGGCCACAGGGCGGATGGGCCCTGTGCTCAAGGTGAGAATGTGGTGGTGTGAAGGTGTGAACTTCATTTGGTCGGCCTGCCCTTTCGTTTAATTATCTGTTGGTCCTGGGGGTTTGAACTCAGGACCTCATGCTTGCTAGGCAGGCACGCTACCACTTGAGCCACACCTCTAACTCTGTTGCTTGCCAGTTGTTGAGTTTTTGAGATAAAGTCTTGAGAACTTCCTACCCCCGCTTGTCTACTTAAGCTTCAATCCCTCCACTTCCAACCTCTTGAATAGCCAACGTTCTAGGCGTGAGCTATGGGCAGTTTTGTTGTTGTTTTGAGGTAGGGTCTCACTCCGCGGCAGCCTGGCCTGGCCTGGCACTCGGAACCCTTTTGTCTCAGTCTTCCCAGTGCTTGGATTACAGGCAGGCATCATCTTTTAGGTCTCTTGAGTTTTCCTTCCAGCCTGGAGTGGTAGCACACACTTGTAATCTCACCAGAAGGCTGTGTTAGGAGGATTATGAGTTCCGTATCAGCCTGGACAACTTGACAAGACAGTGCCCAAAAAACTAAAAAAAGGACAGGGGCATGGCTGAGTGACAAAGGGCCTGTCCAGCACGAAAAGGCCCTGGGCTCCGTCCCCAGCACTGTTAAAACAAAAGAGGAAGGAAGATGAAAAGACGTTTTTCTCTAAGTGTCTCTCACCCGTACTGTGAGCAGCTCTGGCTGCTTCCGCCCCAGCCGGTTATCAGTGAAGTAGCAAGTGCAGCCTGTGGCATGACCACTGGCCGTGTCTGGTTCAGGCCAGGGTTCCATCCAGCCTGGACCCCTGTGACCCCGTGCTTTCTTCTGAGGAGGCTCACTTGCCTCCTTGCCTTCCTGCCTGGCTGGGCGAGGGTCAGTGTGGGAGGGGAAGGTGTCAGTCAAAGAAATGAGATGGAGAATGTGGATGGATAAGCAGCTGCTCGTCAAGTGGGGGATCATCCTACCTCTGTCTGCAGAGTAGCTGGGATTATAGGCATGAATCATCAGGCCCGCCTGCCCTGGCCTCTTGTCTCTGGGCTGTTCCCTCTGCTTTTTGCTGGGGACATTGAAGCTTTTGTTTGATTTTTTTTTTTTTTTTTAAAGCAGAAAATAACTTTCCCCAACTGCTTCCAGTGGTGGAGGGTTTTAATCAAGTCGCCTATTAACACCCTCATTAATCAAGTGGCATATTAACACCCTCATCTCAGTGACAGGCTTACTTACGTGAAAACAGGTCGGGTTCACGTCTGGTGAGCTCCTGGCCGGTATGTACCCCTCCCCGGCCCCCAGCACGGGGGCACGTGCTCTGCAGCCGCAGGACTTGTCCACACGGGCCCAGTGTGTTCACGCTGCACACAGCCATGTTGGTGTCGTCACAGCTGGTGCGCCGCCGGGATGCCGTGACTGGGACCCCGGTCAGGTGTTCCCTGGTGTGCGCCGCCCGCCCCTCACCGGGAGGCCCAGGCACCAGGCATGCGGTGGTCTGCAGGAAGCGGGATGTCGGCTCAGCCTGGCAGGGTGGAGCGCCGTCCCCAGCCCTGGGCTGATGTCTTCTGCTGAGCTGATGCGTCCTTTGTGGGAAATGTGCTTTCCACTTGCTCCTGCCTCCTCTAGACCTGAACGCCAGGGTTGGGAAAGGGACTGGTCCTCAGGGTTTGAGGCCCAGAAGTGGGAGACCTGCCCGGTGACCCACACAGCGGCATGCAGCAGCTGGAGACTTCCCTGAGTGGCTGTGTGACACATTGCCCGTCAGGGCTAGCGCTCTACCACTTGAGCCACAGAGCCACTTCCAGCTTTTTCTGTGTATGTGGTACTGAGGAATCGAACCCAGAGCTTCATGTATGCAAGGCAAGCGCTCTACTTCTAGGCCACATTCCCAGCCCCATCTGGACCTCCTAGCCCTCCGCCGGGCTCCATGTCCCACCTAAGGCTTGCCAGTCTCACCTGCACCACCCACAGCCAGGCACCCGCCATGCCATCTGACCCTGCTTGTCCCTGCCAGCTCCCTGGCACGGTCTTCCACCTATGGGCCTTGTGGTAGTCGGGCCTTGTGGTCTCAAAGATGAACAGGCCAGCTGTCCCCAGGCGTCCGCAGTGCCATGGCCAAGGAGAATCTGAGTGATGGGGAGACGGGACGGGTTGGAGAGGAGAGGAGGGAGGTGTGCGGCATTGGCTGGCTGGAGCCTCAGACTCCTGGGTCCTGCTGCTTCCCCTGGCTGGGGGTGCAGGCGGCGCCTGTCTGCCGGGCTGAGCCGGCATGGCACAGGTGTCTGATCATGGGACCCTGGTACTCTGCAGAAGCAACGGGGCCACTCAGGGTTCCCCAGTTGGCCTGGCTCCTGGGTGAGGATCACCTGGGGGGCAGAGGTGAGGGGTCTTTTTGTATCTACCAGCACCTGGAGGCAGAGCCCTCTTTTTCTCTTGGCACAGCTTTTTGTGGGGGTGGAAGGGAAGCTGGAGAATGCAAATAGAACCGGGGTCCATGATCTGAGGTAGACAACAAGAGTGACTTCCTGGGGGGGTGGGTAGCAGGTGCCCCCTTGACAATCTTTCACACCCCTCTAACCTGGTGGCGTGTGGGAGTGGGAATGTGGGTTCAGTGAGGAGTCCTCGGGCAGGGCCCTGCTGTGCACGCTCACTGGGCCTGTCTGAGAAGGAAGCAGGTCTCCGCAGTTTGGGCGTCTTACCAGACCTGCATGTGCACACACACCCCTGAGGCGTGTGCATGTGTGTTCACATGGCATCATGCCATGTACTCCCGAGGCATGTGCATGCGTGCCTACCTGTTGTGCAACCCGGGCCTGCGCATGTGTGTTCACGTGCCGTGGACCCCAGGCACGTGTGCATGTATTCACATGCGGTACACCCCCAGGCTGCTGATCTATGGGGAGTACTGCAGCCGCATGGAACACGCCCAGAGCACACTGAACCAGCTCCTTGCCAGTCGGGAGGACTTCCGGCAGAAAGTGGAGGTAATGGGCTGCCAGCAGAGAGGCCGGGCCTGGCTGTGAGCACGCAGCTCACTGCACAGAGCCTGGGAGGCACCGGTTTGGGAAGGCGGGAGGGGCTGCTGGTGTGTTCCTGAGGTGTTTTTTTCCCCCTTTGTGTCTTATTGGACGGGAAGCTGAGCTCACACCTTCAGGAGAGGGCTGGGTGCTGGCCTGAGCCGGTCAGGCTCTGTGGGAGGGCCCCCCATCCACTTTTGGTGCTCTGTACCCAGGAGTGCACGCTGAAGGTCCAGGACGGCAAGTTTAAGCTGCAAGACCTGCTGGTGGTGCCCATGCAGCGGGTGCTGAAGTACCACCTGCTGCTCAAGGTAGGCTTCACCCACAGCCGTGCCTGGCACACACAGCCAGCCATGACAGTGCCCCGATACTAGGCCATAAGTAGTTTGGTACTTACATAGAACACATACCACTCTGTGTCAGACTCTGAAAAGTCGTCATGGTGAATATACAGGCAAAAATTACAGTGAAGACCAGAAGCAGAACCAGGAAAATGGAAGGAGACAGGAAAGCATCCTCAGACCAGGCATAAGAAAGCTACTGTGGTTGATTGTTTAACCAACTAGGTGAGCTAGTAGCCATGGTCAAATAGAAATAGGAGGCTTCCAGAAAAGGTAGGCTGGGAGGGAAGATGGCGCTGGCGCCTCGAGGTTCTTCAGTACCTCACCAGTGCCCGTCAGCCTTGTTGTGCCCTGCCTTCTGCCACCTTAATGTGTCCCCCCATAGGAACCCTCCCGTTACCCACAAAGTCTGTAGCCAGTGGAATCGGCACTGAACTCCAGCCTGGGCTGCGGGGTGGGCAGTGGCTTTGTGCTGAGATTCCCTCTCTGTGCGCACACATGCTGTATCAGATCGGGGCTCCGGCAGGGGCTGGAACCCCAAAGGGTGACCCCCACTCTCCTTGCTCCTGCAGGAACTCCTGAGTCATTCTACTGACCGGCCTGAGAGGCAGCAGCTGAAAGAAGCACTGGAGGCCATGCAGGTGGGTAAACCGAGGCAGGGAAGCATCGGGTCAGCATGGATGCACGTGCTGTTGGCCGCTCCCAGGCACCGGCTCCGTCCAAGGAGCCAGGGCTCACCCTGCCCAGCCCTGGTCCAGTCCCTCTGCCACCAACCTCGTGCCCCAGCTGGCCACGCCTCCTCAATCTGCAAAATCCCACTGCCCACAATCTCAGCCCAGAACCTTCCCTCTGAGGCCGACCCGTGTGCTTCATGTCTTCCACAAGCCGTGGCACCCCACTGGCAGCTGTGTTGCCCCCTAAAAGTCCAGATTCCAGGCAGATCTTGCTGCCACCCCGGCCCCTGGACAGTCTGTGCCCTCCCGCGTGCCGTGCATCCTCAGGCCCAGCCCTCCTCACCGGCTGCACCCTGTCCACCCCGTCTTTGCACTGACTTGATTCCCTGGGGGAGTTGTCCCCGTTTCCCCCTGCCCCCCGCCCCCGGGCCACTGGCTTCCCCTCGAGTCCCACCCACTCCTGACAGGCTTGTTCATGCCGGCATCTCCCCCGTCAGGCCCACGTTGGCCACCTCACTGGTATTCCAGCCAGGCGCCTCGCCCAGGGCGGTGCTGTGTAAGGTGCTTCATCCATCCCCTCCCCATGGCAGTAGCCTTGACCTCTGACACCTATCCTCTGTGGGGCGCAGAGCTAGCACAGTGTAGACTTCTCTGGGGTGTGTGAGCTGGTCAGCCCTGCCCCTGGGCATGACTCACATAAACTACTTTCCCCGGCACGGGTGTGTCAGGGCATATCTATTCTTGGGGTATGTGAGCCAGCACAGGCCCCTTTTTGGCATGCACAAGATGCTACCGACCTGTCCCTGGGTGTGTGAGCCATCATAAACCCTTCCCTCAGGTGCATGAGCCAGCCAAGACCTGTCCGTGTGTCCTGAGGTAGCAGGCTTGGCTCATCTGGAGCTCACGCCCAGCATTGCCTGCTGCCAGCCTGCAGCTTCCCGCCTGCAGGCGGCCCAGGTCGCCCGATGGAGCCGTTTCCTGCCCATAGCTCTTGGGTCTCCACGGGCTCCCCTGTACATCTCGCAGACCATGATCAGCTCCTATAGCTTCTGGGTTGCAAGAGATCTAAAGGACTTCACACATCCCCAGTGCAGAGGGGGTACTGTGCCAAGCCGTCGCAGCCTTTGAGCTCGATGGGGGGGTGGAGGGTCCTGTCTGTGGCTCAGCTGCTTTGCCCTCAGGGGCCTGAGATTGTGGTTTGGGAGTCAGTGTCAGGTCTGGTGGGGCCAGTTGGACTCCAAGGCCGGGTGTTGAAGCAGCTTTGGGCTTTCTGGGGTTCCTTGTCTCTGGGAATTCATTTCTTGTTTGGAAGGCAAGCGGCTGAGAAAACAAAACACACTGTACACAAATGGACTAAAAGGAAGCTCAGCCTTGCTAAGGTCAAGGCTGGGATGTGGGCCGTGAGGCCAGGAGGGAGGAAGCAGCAGCCAGTCCCCGCCTGGTGACTGCCCAGCTCCTTGCATTTTGGGGCCATCCACCGACAGGGCTGGTGAGTCCTGTGTGCCCGCCATCAAGCTGCTGCAAACTTTCTGGAACAAAGTTGGACACCGCCCCCTGGTGGCCTTTGGGATGATGGCAGCATAGTGAATAGGCTTTGCCCTAGAACCTAGCTCCCAATGTGGGAGAGGTTTACTGGCCGCTCATTGTGCCCAGGCTAGGAGGGCAGATGGGGGCTTGGTGGCTGCTTCCTGCGAGTGGGTTGGTCCAGGAAGTGGGCTGCTTGTGGCCTGCTGCGGCTCTGTTTCCATTCTAATTTGGAAGCACTGCTGATGGTATAGAAGGGATCCGCTCTAGGTGCCCGGAGTCAGAACTGTGGGCATGGTTGCACACGCTGATGGCCTGTGTTCTTTCTTTCGGTCCCCATGTTGCCATCTCTGCCTTAGTTATTATATTGGTCCTGTGGCCACAATGCTTCCCCTCCCCTAGGTGGAGGCACTAACCCTGCCTTTGGTCACCTAGGACTTGGCCATGTACATAAATGAAGTGAAACGGGACAAAGAGACCTTGAAAAAGATCAGCGAGTTCCAGAGTTCCATTGAAAACCTGGTAAGTGCAGCAGCCTCTCTGGCCCATGCAGACTTGCCCACTGCCGTCCCTCTCCACACTGGCTGGAGGCTCCCTAGTCACCTCCTGGCCACCAGCAGTGCCCCAGGAGAAGCAGTGGACAGTGTTGGATTCAGAGGACTGGGGGAGGTTGTCGCCCTTCCCCACTGGTGGCCAGGCCGACCTCTGTCCAGCCCATGAGGCAGCTGGGGAGAGAAGCTGGGCCAGTTCTGGAAGCACACATGACTTGATCTGTGCTAACCAATACCCACTTGCCCAGCATCCACTGTCTTCTCTGCCTGGGTATGGTACACATTTGCGGGGGTGGGGGAGTGTCATTCTTCATGGCACATCTCTCTGTGCCAGGGAGACAAGACACAGGACTTGGAGCAGAGCCCTGACTGGCCCAACCTGCATGAGTGCCACCAGCACCTCTCCTGGTCGCTGCCCTCAGCAGCTTTCAGGAACCTGAGGAGATATTCAGGAACGTCTTGCCAGGCCTGTGGTGACACCCAGTCTGGAGTTGTCCCTATTTCTGTGTGCGCGTGGGCCTGGGCATGCACGTGTGCATTGTGCGTGCGTGTGTGCTGGTAAGGGGCTTGAACTCAGGATCTCACTTTCTTGCTCAGAGCTGGAGGTCTGTCACTGGAGTTACACCTCTAGTCCTACATTTTGCTGGTTAACTGGAGATAAGAGTCTCGTAGACATTCCTGCCCGGGTTGGCTTCAAGTCTCAAACCTCCAGGTCTCAGCCTCCTGAGTGGCTAGGATTACAGGTGTGAGCCA